GAGAGAGAGAGAGAGAGAGAGAGAGAGAGAGAGAGAGAGAGAGAGAGAAAGAGAGAGAGAGACCTTGCGACAATTTGGTTGTGGAAATGTGCGTTTCAGGAAGCCACAAAACGGGATTTCTGCACATGTCCACAAAGACGTCCAGATTCAAGTTTGAGGAAACTTGCCTCTCCTAGTGGCAGTGTGTGCCTGTCCACTGACAGAGTCTGCAGCGGTTGAGTGGCAGTTCCTCAGACTGACAGAGTCCCATTACCAATTTTCTTTTTCCAAATCAGTTTGACTTGGTGAGGATTTTCGAACCGGTTTTCATTCCTCAGCGATGACCAGGAATGAAAACTCGTCAAATTTTGAAAAGTAAAATTTGGTGGCCAATGAGAATACGAGAAACATGAACCCTCCTCTTTGCACACTAACCAAAGCACGACCTTACGATCCCTTCTCTCTCTGTGGCTGCAAGCGTGTCACACACAAGAATGGTCCTCATTCCTATACTTTTCTCACCTCTAGTGGGACTTGGCCCCGGGTTGAATTGTGAGGTCCCCGGCCTATCCTTGGTTTTATAATGAACTGGAGTGAGTAATTTAAAAAACAAAAAAAAAAACAAAAAAAGAAATGAAACTGGGTCGTTGTCAGCACGTGGTTTCCCTAGGGCTTCTGCGTTGTTGGCAGCCCGTGTATCTCGTTGGGCCCCGGTATCCCCGTTGCACAAAAGACAGAAATCATGGCGCTGTAGCTTCCCATGTTCTAGCGAAGATTCACTCTCGTTTTGCACATTTCCAGATCAATCGTGGAAACTGAGAGTGAGTGAATCTTCCGCTAGAACATGGAAAGATAGTGGAAAGATACAGCGCCACGATCTTTTCTTTTTTCCTTCTTGTTCCTTCCTTTTTTTTTTCCTGGAAAACGGCCTGCCCCTCTGACGTGGATGACTAGACTGCAGTTACAAACTCTGCCCTGCGACCGAGAAGTTTGGCCTGCATTGTAAGCTTTAGAGGGGACTTGACTCTCAAAAGGGCAGTTTGAAACGTATTTTCAAACTCTAACCCTTACACCACTAGTACCTTTGCCGCTTGGGAAAATAACGGGCCTCGGGTAGGTGTCCTACCTTTCCAGAGGCCGAAACTAAATGCGGGCCGCCTATCAGATTTATCAATGGCAGTCGTTGTCGGGCCCCACCTCCGAAAATTCAGGAGTTTGAGAAAACTGACAGTTTTCCCTATATTCCCACGCGGGAAAGGTACTAGTGGTGCGCTGTAGTTTTCTCTAAAAAAAAAAAAAAAAAAAAAACACGGGTCTAATAGATCAGTTGGTAGAGCAGCTAAACACACGTGTCTGATAGATAAGTTGCTAGCGCACCTAAATAGCATTGAGGAGATCGTAGGCGCCGATTCCCTGCGCCCCAGTGCGGTGCAAAGTTGAGATCACCAGCTGAGAGACGTGGTTGGGCCCCGCTGGTTAATCTCGGTAGAATAGGTAAAAGGACCCGTCATCCTGCAACAGGGATCACGAGGCCGGGTACTACTCCCCGAACAGAGTAGAGAACGACACTTAGCCCGGAGGGACCTGGCTCAACCCTGCAGGGGCTTGGGAAGGTAGAAACCCATAACCATCTTAACCCAAGAAAAACAACGACGAAACTCTTCGCAGGGCTTCGTGGGTTGTCAGCGTCCGGATGGCTCGATATTGAGAAAAGAGAGTCGCGTAAGGCATAAAAAAGTAGTCCCAACAACAAAGAGAAACATCCCAAACAACATGTGGAGATGCGTCGAGCATGTGGAAGCAAGGGACCATGCTTTGTACACGACCATAGCTTTTAGTCCGAAAAACAGGGAATCATCACAGAAACCAATATTTGATTTGCAGAGAATGACGCTATTAAAAGTACCGGGCCACTACCGGCTTCGTTCTAATACGTAATGTTGACAGTTCCACTCTGGCAACGAAAATTTGAAATGTTCGCCGTCTTCCTCCGAGCACAAGGCACGGACATTATGGCTGTATTCGGGCAACTTTCAGACCAATTGCAGCGATGATGACCGTGTATTATACTTCCGGGAAGGCGATTGAGGACCTACGCTTTCCTCCGAATAGAGCGCACGGTCAGTACAACTGTATTCAGGGGAACTTCTCGTCTATACACGGTGATAATGACCGGCGGCTCTATTTGGGGAAACAACGTAGTCACATAGGGCACCGGCCATCAAGAGGAGGGGAATATAAATAAGCAGAAATGAAGGAGCCACCTCCCCGGCCACCGATGAGCAGTAGCAGGAGAACCGCAAGTAATCATCAATCGCCCAGATCCAGTATGTATAGGGACCATTTTGAATCGGCCTCGACTTGCTTAATTCATAGTTGTTTTGTTTAATTCATCTACTTCGATATGATGCCGAACTCAGGCCTGTATTTCATGGGTGTACCAAGCTAACCCCGTTCGGGATGGAAGCTTTTCACGAAGGGAACAAGTTCAACAATCACCTTCGCATCTTCACATCATTTCCCCTCTCCTTCCACCATCGCAAATCTTATTTCCCTCCCCACGCATACAAACTTCACAAATTCTGTCCCACGACAACCTTTCGGCTCTGACATGCATCGCAGGCCTTCATGCTCTCTGAAACACCTTCATCATAATTACCATCAACCGTTTCCTGTAAGACACACTAATAAAGAAAAGCAGGCCATTGACGAAACGGAACAGAAACTTGGCCAATAAAGACCGGGAAGTCGTCAACACGAAAACTGGCAAAATAAAGAATTGTAAGAGATATTCATAGCCTCTCTCTCTCTCTCTCTCTCTCTCTCTCTCTCTCTCTCTCTCTCTCTCTCTCTCACTCACACACACACACACACAAAAAAAAAAAAAAAAAAAANAAAAGAAAAAAACACGCAAACATGCCTTCTGCGTGCAAACGTGCTTCTAACGTCCGTCATCCCAACATTTGGGCTTTGCATTTCCTTGTAACGAGGCAGTGTTCGGCACCATCAGGAAGGCGACCACCTTCACCTAGCAGCAGAGGCTTTGGACAAGATCGAGTCCCTCGCAACCCGTTTTGGAGACGATTTGTGCAACGAGGCTTTTCCGATCCCCCGCAGACAGAACCTTCTTCTCTAGTGCCAGCTTCGTCGCAAGCGAGCGCACCGTGCAATCCTCTCGAGCAAGGTAGCACAGAGCACTGACAACTCGCCTTTCTTCCGCACTCAGCAGGTAGTCACATTCCCACCCCGTGGGAGGCACAGGCAACGGACAGCAGGCTGACAAAAGACACATGATGGCAGCCGGAGATTGGACAAACGTTGCGTGCTCCACGCCCGCCTTCTCCAACTCACCCTCCATAATCTCGTCCTCGGAGACGAGGGCAGCTATGGCTACAGCCTCAACGCCTCCCTCGGCGAAGAGCTTCGAATATATCTCTTTCCGGCACGCCACCGTCAACCCCTCTTGCATCAGCTGAACAGAAAACTCGTAACCGGCACAGCCAGCAATCACAATGACCTCCTTGAGCAATTGCTTCTCCCTCTGTCTCCTGGCCTCCCTTCGCGCACAAAGGTCTACCGGCGGCTCGCCTCGGACAAGACGGACACGCTCTCCGGCCGCCACTACAGTCTTGAGCAAGGCAACATCAGCAGCGAGGCGTGCGCCGGCGGCAAGCGCAGACACTCCGCCGAGCTTCACCAGTTCGACATACAAGGTCTTCTTCTCGGAGTCCTCAAGGAGCAATGCACAATCCGCCAGGCGAACCACGATCTCGTGTCCGCGAGGCCCCGCGGCAGAGACGACAGATTGCAAGAGCTGGCATTTGAGAGAAGCAGAAAGGGTAGAGTAGGAAGAGGAGAGAGGCGGGCAGCAAGCGGTGGACACAGCGGCGCAGCGGACATGCTCACCCACGGCCGCGGCAAGAACATCAATGTAGCAGGCATCACCAGCTATGGCGGCCGCCGTCGTCACTGCCTCCATGCCGCCCTTCACATAGAGCGTCTGGTAGTGGCAGTTGCGCTGCTCGACGGACAGGCACGCATACTCGTTCTTGAATTTGAGACCGATCTCGTATCCCTCCACGCCCATCAACGAAACGAGCTTACGAAGATGAGTATTGCAATCCGCAGAAGGGCATACAGGGGAGCACGGAGGAGGGCATTGCACCTTCTTCTCTGGGAACTTGAGATCGGCGGGGGGCTCGCTGGCAAACAACAGTCGCAAGAGCGCCCATCCATCCTCCTGGATCAGACACGTCAGCTCGTCCACGATGGTCTGCTGCTCGGCCAACGTCAGGCCATAACCAGAGCACCGCGCAATGCGCTTCGCCAGCTCCTCGATTCTACAGGCGCTGACTGCAGACTTGGCATAGCTGACAACTCTAGTGATGAAGTACAGCTGCCTGGAATCGAGCCCGGGAATGCATGGAGGGAACTCTACAGCAGGAGGACAAGGAGGGCACGAAGGGCGAGGAAGGCACTGAGGAGCGCAAGGAACAAGAGGATGACACGGAATCCACGGAGAGCAAGCAACGACAGGGGCGCAGACTTCCAGCATCTCGCGCAAGATCCAATGGCCTCTCGCATTAACCAAGGACACAAGGCGCTGGCTCAAACACTGTCGCTCAACCGTCGTGATGGTCGTCAGCAGCGCCACACGCGTCGCCAGCTGTTCAATCAGCGCCTCGTCAGTCTTGCACAGCGCTTCCTTCTTCAAGCAGGCAATGGCAAATTTCTGCAAGTCTGTCACACCGGGAGGGCACTCCTTTTCAGGCGCAGGAGGAAGGAATGTAGCCAACTTCTTCGAGTCCGCAGCAACAACGTACTCCGGCTTGTGCTTGAAGCCCCCGAGGGAGAGCGCGTACATCACTGAGTTAAGAATGCAAACGTTCTGGTTCTGGAGCTCGTTCTTGTGTTGGCTGACCACAGTGCTGTACAGGTGATGGCTGAAAATACCCGCCGGCTTGCAGTCGACAACCACGTCCCAGGTGGTTTCTTCCTCTGCGCAGGCAAGCCAAGCAGAGGGGAGGTCGTAGTACAAAGCCTTGCACACATCCGAGAGAGGGAATTGCATGCATGCGAAACGACCTTCGGCATTCAGTTTCCTGGATGCGGTTAGCCATGGCACGTTATCCAGACCTCTAGCCGAGACCACCTTCGTCGACAAACCGTGGCAAAGAACAGAGTGCTGAACGCCTGTTACAAAATCAATAAACCAATATAAAATCGTTAGAGGTCCCGGTCGTTTGACAGCAAAAATATATGTGCAGGCGGGGTCCCACTTTCCTTACAAAAATAGGTCTTTCGGACCCGTACAAGTTTTCTGCTGCGAAACTTCGAAAACGCACTACTTCTGCAATTTCCCCTATTATGTAACATCAGCTGCGGGAACGATCCACGGACGAAAACCTATTATCGTACACAACACTCGGAATCACCAATTATCTAATAATGCTACATACAAGAAATCGAAAGTTTACTCGATGGGAACGCAAATCCACAGACCATACACAAGAAAGTGGACGTTAGAAATTTTGGAACCATGACCAATACATGCACGAAAATCATTATAATATTTCTATTCGGGAAAAGGTCACAGGTTTTCGTCAGAATCCTGGCGTTCGTGGATTTTCAACAACAGCAACACAAGGCTCCGATCTCTTCGAGGGAAGCATCACGTGCGCGGATACGTGCCCAATGTGTCCCATTGAGAGTTTCCAGAAAGAAAATGACCGAGGGCAAACTCACAGAGGCGAATAGAGAGCACAGAGAGAGAGAGAG